AATATACAAAAATTACAAAATTATATTATATCTCCGGATTTACCAATACATAATCCTTTGCCAGAAGTTATACCTCGACGCTTTGATGAAACGCGTCTTTTACATTTACCGAAAGGTGCTGCCAGCACCAAATTAGTGCCACGTCGCGACTTTGTAACCGGCGAGATTATAGAATTTGTCGAAGTAGACTTGGAAGATGTTGGTGCCAACGCATGCAACTCCACTTCAATGCGCCGGGAGCCTGGTCTTCTAGAGGAAGCAACACGCGGATCAGCTATGAATTTTCCTTTTTGGCCGGGTGGATTAGATGAACCGCCAAGGGAAATCAAAAAGCTAAGCATTGATCTGGACTTTGGCACAGAACTGTTGACCCTGCCGCCAGGATTTCGAAAAGGCTACAATTTCGAGACCAACGTGGAAACACTTTCCCCTGGTTCAATTTTGGTAAGCAATGATAAAGTAAATCTCCTGGAAAATTTAGAAAAGGATCTCGATGTTCAAGAGTGGCTTAAGTTGGCGGAACAACCAACGGAAGCTGATTCGGTCACAGTTCTTGATAACTCAACAGAATTCAAAGATGTAGAAGAGCAAATTATGAATGCCGACCTTAAGCCAGTATTGGAAATCTCAAACACAAACACAAAGTCTGCTTTCAGTAGTGAATGGGCTGAAATGGTTGATATCTCGCATCCTATTGCTAGTTTCAAAGAGAAAATTCCATGCCCTGCCATGACCTACCCATTTGAGTTGGATATTTTCCAAAAACAGGCAATTCTTAAATTAGAAGAACGTCAATATGTCTTCGTAGCCGCGCATACGTCTGCCGGTAAAACAGTAGTGGCAGAATATGCTATAGCCCTGTCGCAACGCGATTTAACGCGTACAATATACACTTCACCCATTAAGGCGCTATCTAATCAAAAATACCGCGACTTCAAAAAAACTTTCAAGGATGTAGGACTGATAACTGGCGATCTACAAATTGATCCCACTGCTTCCTGCCTCATTATGACTACGGAGATTTTGCGCTCCATGCTTTACTGCGGTAGTGAAATAACACGAGATCTCGAATATGTTATTTTTGACGAAGTACACTATATAAACAATCCTGAACGTGGTCATGTTTGGGAAGAGGTAATACATGTTAGTTTGAAATTTGACTTTAAATTATTTGTTTATTTATAGGTGATAATACTTCTTCCCGACCATGTGAATATAATTATGTTGAGCGCTACAGTGCCGAATACAATGGAGCTAGCTGATTGGGTTGGCAGCACTAAAAAAAGAAAAGTATATGTTATAAGTACCCTTAAACGTCCAGTTCCTCTTATGCATTATCTTTACACCGGGAGTGGTGGCAAGAGCAAAGATGATATATTTTTATTAGTTGACGCAGATGGTAAGTATCTGCAGCAAAATTACGAAAAGGCGGTAGAACGCAAGAAAGAAATGCAATCCAAGTCAAAAGGAGCGCAGGGTAGCGGCGGTCCGACAGCGAAAAACTTTGTAAGCGCTAAACAAGATCAAAACATGTGGATCGGGCTAATAGACTTTCTGAAGCGTAATAACAAAATGCCTGTTGTAGCGTTTACACTATCACGCAATCGTTGTGACATCAATTTGCAGGTATGTATTTTATTGCCGGTCTATTATGCCTTAATTGTTTCTAAATACGATTTCAGGCTCTGCAATCAGTTGACTTAAACACAGCTCGCGAAAAAGGATCTGCGCAAAAATTTTTCCAACAATGTTTGCAAAAACTTAAACCGCCGGATCGCCAATTACCACAAGTGCTAACAATGAAAGATTCCCTCGAGCGAGGGATAGGTGTTCACCACAGTGGGATACTACCAATACTTAAGGAGATCGTGGAAATGCTTTTTCAATCTGGTTTAGTAAAGTTACTCTTCGCTACGGAAACATTTGCAATGGGTGTTAACATGCCAGCACGTACAGTTATTTTCGATTCCCATCGAAAATATGATGGACTTGAAGTTCGAAATCTGAAACCAGGGGAATATATTCAAATGGCTGGGCGCGCAGGGCGCCGTGGTCACGATGATAACGGGACGGTAATATTGTTGTGTAAAGCACAGGTCCCGCCTTCGATGGAACTACGCTCAATGATTTTAGGTCAGCCGGAAAAATTACAATCGCAATTTATTTTGCGATATGCCGTAATTTTGACTTGCTTGCGCATTGAGAGTATCAAAGTTGAAGACATAATACAGTTCACTTTTAAGGAGTTTAATCAAAAACTGCAAATACCAATGCAAACGAAACAACTACAAGTGGCACAAGACAAATTTGCACAACTGCCCGTTTTAGGTGAACACCTACAACCACTATGTCGCTTTTACGAACTAGCGCAGGACTACCTTACGGAAAGACAGCGTCTTATGGTATATTTAAGAAATTCTTTGTTCTTTTGCCTTAACTTGTTTTTCTTGTTATGTAGAAATATTTATTATCACAACCTAAAATAGCAAAAGAACTGAAAATAGGTCGCGTACTTGTAGTGACACAAGGCAGACACTACAATAAGTTGGGTGTAATACTCTCTATAAAATCTACAACAGGGAAGGATACAATCTATAGATTATTACTATT